TATATAACTTTAAAATGATAAAGATACAGTTAATATATTAACAAAATAATGATATTTAAATACATACAATAATAACATGTAATATAATAATATATAATGATATTTAAATGAAGCTTTAGAAAGTAATAATTGGATGTAAATCTACAATTAGTTCTTTAAAAAAAAAGTTTTTAATTGAAACTGTTTAAGATTGCTGCTAAAGCTAATTAACCTTATCCAAGACAAGAATGTCTATACCGTATATTAAGCATGTTTACAGACATATTGTTCAAATTTGGTGTGGTAGCAGCTGAACATAATCTCAAACATAATATGTTATTGCTACTCATTATTCAAAAAACTTTTATTACAAATGTGTCATTCCCTGTTAGCATCAATGCTGTTTGTGTTTTAGCACATCCCATGACCACTGGATGGATTTTAATGAAATGTTCAGAAACTAATCATTGAATGTGGATCTGCAACTGATCAACTTTTGATGCCAGTCCAGTTCACCGTGGCTGCCACAGCTTACCACCCTAAGCCAGCATAACAGTGGCTGTATCTCTGAATTATGCAGCTACTGAGTTAACTTTGGGGCAGTGGTAGCTGAAAGTACGATAATATACAAGACGTACTCCAGTAGCAATAAATGATGCTAAATCATGTGAGATATTGCAATGGTGTGTGAGATTCCACTAACAGTTTAATTAAAATGGCTCTGACTCCATAACTTCTCAGCATAACACATTCTGCTGGCAATGTGCATTCCTTCAAAAAAATAGCACTTTATTTAATTTGTGTCATTTATAAAGTCAAAATGAGTGACAGTTGATAAAAGTAGACCAGAAAACCCACCACCAGCTGTACTCATTATGATTATTCCCTCAAGTATGTGTTATAACTTTTATAAATTAACCAATAGATTATGTTTTCTCATGCACAGGGGTACCTACCAACCTCCGAGGCCATCACAGTGATGTTGTGCCATGCTGTTACTTCTCTGTCCAGAGACTGCGTCGTACGTATAACTCCGCTGCTTTCATCAATTCTAAAGAACCTTTCTTCATCCTCTTTGCTGTCCAAGTAATATCTGTTTGGAAAGAATATTGCATTTTTTAACGTCAGCACATAAATATTACAAACGTTTATAAAATGGGACCGGTAAGTCCGGTATTTCTTAACCGTAATACCGGTCAAACTTCAAAGAAAGGACATTTTATTCCTACAATAATGCTGATGATACACATGGTATACATATAAACACATACATGTATAACTCCATTTATTGAATATCTATGAAACCATTATTAACAAAACAACTTAAAGGTAATTAGTTTGAAACTGTTTTTTAAAACATATAATTGGTACAAGTTGAACTCTTTAACGAACTGTGACTATTTGCTCCTTTAACACCATTAGTTTGTGGGTAAATAGGTACAAAGTATATTAACTCAGCAGATTCTTTCAGAAGACACCACAAGTTATAACTTAAATGCCTTCTGGTTGCCTTAATGTGATTTGTGAAGGGGCCGAGGTGGCGAAAGTCATCAGAGCCAACGCAACTCTGATCTGCCTTTGTGTATCAAAGCAATGTAGCAACAGAGGCGAAACGGTCAACATGTGAAAAAGTAAGCTGGCTTTGAGGCTCAGGGATGTAATGAAGTGATGAGGTTGCAGAGTTAAACAGCAATAAACAGATGTAAGGGAAGATACACAATGACACACAGAAACTTTGCATTTAGTTATAAATATAGTTAAGGACAAAGACTAAGCAGAGTTTATTGGTTGTGTTTGGAAAACAATAACAGGAATATATCTGTCACGCACTTAACTCAAAGTGCTTTATGTCAACCATGGCTTAATTTGTAAATTAAATTATGATGGGATGCAAAGAGCAGGTGAGGGAGGGGTCTGGGGTTCCTCTTTTGAATAAAGTAGATGCCATTCCATGCATTCTGGTGTATTTTATAAATGTCTATTACAGTAGATTAACATGAACCAAAAGATGTAAAGTCAATTATTATTGAAATCTCTATGACTGTAAAGTGTTCATAATGCTAAACCGCTGCAGCTCTGCAGGTACGGGGCGTTCACTTCAGGACAAATTGAGGTTGCTGATTGGTCAGTTGCTGACGTGACTACTGGACTGGTTGACAGGTGGAGAGGATCTGACTTCTGAGAAAAAATAAATAAATAAATCATACATTTTACTGGACCGTTCAAGATTGTCATCATTTATTCCATATTTATTCCATACTTTGGTGAATCTAAGGTGGGAACAGTCTATGTTGAGGTGCAGACAGAGCAACTTGCCCTCAGTCTGGCCACAGAGTACACCGGCGTCCTCAGGCCATACTGTGGAAAAAGCACCTGCAGCTCCTCAGTAAAACCATCATGGGGCTTTGGTCGCCCCACCCTGGGACAACAAGCGCAGCTCTGTTTTTGGCCACACTTAGAAAAAAACTGACTAATATTTGGCACTTTGTCGCTGGCGTAGAAAAGAGTCCAGTCCTCCTGCTCAACTCAGAGAAACGTCCTGGACATCGCTTCAAATACTCTGCCTGCACGACAAATAGCTAAATGAGCCGAGACCACGTCTCTTTTTCTGCAGCTCAGATCACTCCTGCAGTGACTCACACAGCAGATCGTTCACAAAAGCCCAGGAACTTATGTGTAGCACAAAACGTTCAATTTTATTTTTGTGTTTCTTAATAAAATTGCCCATGACTTTGAACTTTTAGGGGCAGATATTTTTTTAAGAGTAAAAGTGGAAATGTGAAGCGACAGCTCTGATGTGATGTTAGGGAGCTCGTTATGTTTTAAAGTTAGTCCTCATGTAATTAGTTTAAGATAACATATCTGATATATGTTTTATTCATTCAAGGCAGTCACATTTGTTCAGAACTTTATTATTATTAAGCCTGAGAGTTACCGGATCCAAGCAAACAGTTACCGGAATGTACCCTGTCCAAAAAAATTCAATCCTGTTCTGGCAGGATCCAGCTCAAATTAAGCCCTGCTGCCAGCCCAGCTGAGTTCTGCTCTGCACTGGTTTTGGTTCTGTGATCCTTGTTTCATTTCTGAAACCTCACGTCTGTGTGATGCATGGCCAGATTATAGGTGCTGTATTTATAAACACCCAGAGATAGCATAAAGACTAACTGGTCCTTGTAGACATTTTATTTTGTGAAAGAGCCTAAGGGGCACTGCAGAGTCAAGACAGGAGAAAATACGTGGACACATTTTATTTTAAATAAATTATGCATCTTAAATATCTGCAGGTGAATAATGTTAGACATATTTATCACTAGGACTTGTTTTTATCCAATAATGATCAGTCAGGTCATCTGGACAGTTTCTTTCCAGATGACCTGACTGATCATTATTGGATTTGGTACCTGGATGATTGAGCATGAACTTTGTTGACTTGTTTTTATGTTACACTGAGTAAACAGGACATACGTAGGACATGGGCTGCATGTCATGCAGTGTGGATCTGTTTCTTACTCTTCAGCCAGTTCATGATGCAAAAGAGAAATGATGTAAAGCGGAGAGGAAAGAGTTCTATGTTTCTTTTATGGAGGACATATTTGCTGTTTGGAGGAGGTGTTACTTTTAATTAGGAACAAACTGTCAGAGTGATGACGGTCAAAGAGGGATTAATGCTGCTTTTACTGCTGAACATCAGCAGGACATCCAAAGTACGCACTGGCTATGACAGTTTCTGATGCAAAGCTGTTTACTAAATGATCCACGGTGTAAAATTTAGACCAAAAAAAACCAATGCTTCAAATCAAAGTGACGTAATATATTTACTGCTGGAAATACAAGACATTTTAAAAGACTCTGTTCTGTGTTGTGTTTTTAAATTTGGACAGTATGATGTTTAATACAATTTAAATTACTTGTTACAAAGTTGTGCTTTTGTCATATAAACCCACTCAGATGTTTTAAACATTAAACAACATCAATGGACGTTAAAGGATGTTGGAAAGAAAAGAGATCATTTGGAATTCACGAGATGATAAATGTCAGGATGTAAAAAATGAATATATATATTAAAAAAGTACAATTGTTTTTATCAAAGTAATATGTTCTTACCTCCTTTATTAACCAATTAATTTAAAGTAATCTAAAAATAAAAATAAATAAATAAAAATAAAACTGTAATCTTAGTACTTTCCAGAGGAATATGGTTATTCAAATTCTGGAAAACTTTTTTTTTTTTTATTACTGATTGATTTAAAAGTAATTAATGTTTTATTTATTATTTTCATTATTCTTTTTATACTCCATACTAGTTTATATGGTGGCAAATAAAACAATTTAAATGAATTGGAACAGATTAAACTACACTGTTTGTTTTTAAATATATATGCAATAGAAATATGCTCCCTATAGACTCTAATATTGTGACATAATGAGCTCCATTTAAATTGAAAATGATCAGGTTCAAACTTCATTCTTATATTTCTAAAACAATGATAGTGTTTGCTGTCTTATTTAGTTTATTTTATCAGAGATCAATGACATCTACTTTTTCATTTTTATTTTAGCAAAGACATAATAATAACTCTTTATTCATCCTCTTGCTGTACTGCTGTCAAAGTGACTACTGAGGTCATTTTAACCTGGCAAACAAAAGCAAAATAAATAAATAAATATATAAAAGTTAGGAAAAAAGAAGCACTCCATAACACAAAACACAATAACTATTCACTTTTGACATGTCTAACAGAAATAATAAAATAGTGTAAATCCTGAAGTTTCTTTTTTTTTCTTCAAAAAGGCGTCCAACATGTAAAGTTTAAGAACTTCTGGCCTAACTGACAAAATAGTTCTTAGTTATAGGCATGCTCATCATTATTATTATTATTAGTATTATAAAATCACTCTTAGCACATGCAGATCAGAAAGTTACAACACAGCATCAACTATAGTTGTTAGAGCCTACGTCACGTTATGAGAAGGGTTTTCTCAGACCTTGTCCACACGGAGACACTATTTCAAAGCAGTCTTTTTTATTCATCGATTTTAATGTCATTGTTAACATGGGACAGTTTTTAGAAATGTTTTCATCCACATTTAAACACAAAAGAACAATATAAAACGTTCTAACAGCTTAGCCATGCCAGTATGTGGTGCTCTAAATCTGCAACAAAAGTACCTAAAAACAGGAAGCAAGGCACGGAACATGTGCACAAAGATTCTTTTTTAGAATGTAAACACAAGGAAATGAAGGGAATCTCAAGCTGTGAGATAGATAATAGGTATATCTATGACACCACTGTTTATAAAGCGTCCTGACCGTCTACATTCAAATACTAGGTGGAAGAATTTTCACTTTGGAACTTTCATCGGGGATTAAAGTAGAAATACAACTTTCGACTGTGTTTTTTTTTTTCTTCCTTAAACCTAGAGGCAAGTATAGTGTGTATACGATCTTAGCAAAAGTACACAGTATACTTTGTGCATGACCGTAGTATAAGTGCACAGTAAACTGTGTGTATTATCAAAGTAAGAGTGCACACTATTCTGTGTACAAGACCTTAGTAAAAGTACACAGCTTTGTTCTCTAATGAAGTGTTGCAGTTGTAATAAGACTGAACCATCAAAAACAATGGGTTCTGAACAACTTTTCCGTCATTTGTGTTTTCAATTGAAGGGTGTGCATATGTATACATATATATATATATATATATATATATGTATATATAT